CATTTCCCACCCCTGTCTCTTATCACATGTCCTCCTTCCCTCTACTTGCCACTCTCTCACCACTGGGCTCACACACCGCACTCTCTATGGGGTGTCCTCACCTTGGGGTGCCGGGTCTGGCTTCGGGATGGCCGGTAGCGGCTTTGATCCAGGGGAGTATCCTCAAAGGGGCTGTCTCCGAAGGAGAAAACTGGCAGACTGCAAGGGGAGAGTAAAGTTGGCAGGCAGAGCATGGTCAGTGGAGCCCTGTTGGGGGGCTATGGGGTGGAGTCGGGTTGCAAGGGTGGGAAGCAGAGGGCAGAACCGGATTACAATTCCCACAGATTCCTGGAAGACACGAACTATAATTCCCATGAAGTGCTGCTGCACATCCAAGATACTGATACTAGAGGCTCAATTCCCACCAGCCCTTGGAGTGGTCTCAGAAAACCAAGGAACTGCTAACTGGTGGCTCTTAACCTGAATCCAACCTAGGAGACTTTAAAAAATACAGATGCAAGGTCCTCACCCCAGGCCAAAAGAATAGTCATGTCTGAAAGGAGGCTGGGCATCTGTATCTGAAAGGAGGCTGGGCATCTTTTGCGTCATCCCTGAGCAGCTCAAGTCATGATCTCATGGTTTGTGAGTTGGAGCCCACCACCGTCTCTCTGCTGATAGCTCAGAGCCTGGAGCCTGCTTTGGATTCTATGTCAACCTCTCTCTCCTTGCCCCTCCCCTACTCATGCTCTTGCTCTCTCTCAAAAATAAGAAATAAAACATTATATAAAAAAGAAAAGAACCAAGGCTAAACCTATCACTGTACAGTTCCCTTAAGTCCTTGGTACACTAAGGAGGAAACAGTAAACCGACTACAATCCCCATCAGTAACTGGGCTCCGCCTTAAGCAAAAAAAAAAAAAAAAAAAAAAAGTCAAAACCAACACCCATAGGACTCTGGGGGCAATTTTAAAATTAAAAAATTTAATTTCCAAGATGACCCTGGGCATCTTTAGAGGAAAATGAAAAGTTCTGGGGCCACTTAGAAAGCGGAACATAACGCTCTACGGGACCGGGGAGATGAAGTCCAAGGCTGGAGCAGCCAAAAGATGTGGGGCATCGTGGGAGTTGTAGTTCCAGTGCGGTTGAGAAAGAGACTCTGGACGTTAGCAAATTTGGCCGGAGGCTGTGTTCATCTGACTCTAGGTCCTCCCCAGGCTTCCTGTGGTCCCCGGGAGAGAGATCGCCTCACCTGCAGTCTATCCCGCAGCTACCTGGGCCCTTCCGCCTGCTCCGCTCCTTCACTGGGTTGGCCCCGCGCACATCTTTGTCGCTTAGCAATGCCCTGTCAGGCCCGCCCCTTTCTGGGAGTGCCGTCGCTGAAGAGAGCGGCCTCCGAGGCGACCAATGATGGAGAGGAAAATAAAATTGGAAAGTGGCCAAAGGGAGGTGTCCCACAACTGGCTGTAACGTCCGCCTGACTGGAGAGAGCATGTGTGATTGGAGAATCGTAGCGTGCTGCAGTAACTGGCAAGCCTGTGGACCAGTGGAAAGCATCTGAGGGTGAGCGCGAGGTTAGGAAGAGTTCCAAAGTACACTCGCTCTCCAGCGGGGTGTTCTAGCCACTCCCCCTTCTGCTGCAGAAATCTTGTCCCGACTCGAGTCTAACTACCGTTTTTCGCTTTGCAGAGCAGTACGAGAATCCGTCCCCTCTCTAACCGCCGTCCCTCCATCGGTCGGACCGGCCAACCAGTCCCGCGGGGTCATTAACCACTTTTGTCTTGCTGCAGGAGCAGCTGGTTGCGCTAAGTGCCAGGCCTGGGCTCCTAGCCGAAATGGTGGGATCAAAACGAGCTATTTCGGGCCGGGCCCGCGGCCCCCGGGGGGCCAGCCTGAACTGTTCGTGCCTGCGCCCTCTGGCTGCTGCTCACCTGGCAGACCCCGCCACCCTGGGCACCCGAGGCTGAGTCAGAGGCCCAGAATTAGGCTCGGCTTGCTGGGGGGCTGGGCCCATGGCCCTGCTCAGATGGGAGTAGGGTCTGTTTTGTGTCCTCCTGACAGCCTGGCCGGCTACCACATTCCCTGTACCCAAGAATCTGCTCCTAAGACCGCCATCTACGTCATCCCCGGAGCTGCCTGCGGGGTGGGGGTGGATTAAAAGGACTGCGAACCCTGCGGTGGCCCTGGGGCCCAAATGCCGCGCCGTTCCACCTACCGGGAAGACTCCGCCTCCCCAGCCTCAGTTTCCCCTTTGGGACATTGGGGGATCACCTCTAGCATCCAGCAGGCGCTTAATAAATGGCCGAGTCATTGTTGGGCTTTCTAAATAAGGCTCTATTAATGGCCGGCGCTGGCCGCGGTCCCAGTGTCCCCGGGCGGCCCGCCGAGGGGCGGACACAAGGCGTACTATAAGAGCGGCTGCCGCGCACGCAGGGGCACTGCGGAGCCTAGGGGCGGCGGCGGCGGCGAAGCAGGATGGAGATCCCCGTGCCTGTGCAGCCGTCTTGGCTGCGCCGCGCCTCGGCCCCTTTGCCCGGGCGCCTCTTCGACCAGCGCTTCGGCGAGGGGCTGCTGGAGGCCGAGCTGGCTGCGCTCTGCCCCGCCACGCTGGCCCCCTACTACCTGCGCGCACCCAGCGTGGCGCTGCCTACCGCCCAGGTGCCAGGCCTGGGGGAGGGCGGTAACCCGACCACTTCCAAGGCTTGGGGCCCCGGTCATCCTTGCGGGGGTGGGGTGGGATGGGGTGAGGAATGCCCCCTGACTTTGAGCGGGGTGGAAAGTCCGGCCACTCGGAGGGGCTTCTAGAGTTCCCGGACAATGGAATCTCAGTGGCCGGATTACTGAAAGGGGTGGGAGGTCCCTGACCCTCTGAGGAAGGGGCCCAGCTCTGAGGGGCTGGAATGGCTGAGTCACTGATAGGGTGCGGCGGTCACTCTGAGGGGGAGCGTTGGTGACTCTGAAGGAGACCGGTGGCCCAGGGAATCTGGGGGAAAGGGGGCGCTCAGTCATTCTGAAGGGCGTGTGGCTTCCCAGAGACTCCTGCGGGGAGAGAATGTTTTGTCATTTTCGGGGAAGAGTTTGGAGACTGTATGTGGAGGAAGGGTCCTGTGACTTGAGAAAGGGGGGCCTGGCCACTCGGGGAAGTGGAGGATGAGTACGGGTAACTGTTGAGGGCGTAGGCGGCCCCGTGACTCCAGTGGGAGGGTAAAAAGAAGACTCTGGAGGCTGAGGGAAGAGGCATCTTGGCAATTTCTGGTGGTGGGGGGGGAGGGGGTGCAAGAAGGGCATCTGAGGAAGGGGGCTAGGGCCTCAGAGTCCAAAGGAGACGCTGACTATGGGGCCTTGACACTGGGGGGGGGGGGAAGGTCTTACCCTGTGAGAGCCACGTCTCTGACCTTGCAGAAAGGGGCCTCATCACCCTGCGTGAGAGGAAAATCTGTGATTACAGGGGGAGGGGTGATCCCTGTTACTCCGGGTGAAGACATCCTATGGGGCTAGGAGTAGGGAGACTGCCCAGTTCCGGAGGCCTGGGGCAGGGGCAGCCCCGGAACCGACGGGGGAGGGGCCTTGCTGGGTCCCGGGAGCCTCGCCCCACCGATGACGATCGGGCTGTGCTTAGGTGCCAGCGGAACCTGGGCATTTCTCGGTGCTGCTGGACGTGAAGCACTTTTCCCCAGAGGAAATCGCCGTCAAGGTGGTTGGCGACCACGTGGAGGTGCACGCGCGCCACGAGGAGCGCCCGGTGAGCCCGCTGCCAGGGGTGGGGCCAGGGCGCGCAGGCGGGACCCGCGGGCGTCTATAGGGAAAGGGCGGAGCCACTCAAACCTCTCTCCCCCGCCCCCAGGATGAGCATGGATACATAGCACGCGAGTTCCATCGCCGCTACCGCTTGCCGCCTGGTGTGGACCCTGCCGCCGTGACGTCCGCGCTGTCCCCTGAGGGCGTCCTGTCCATCCAGGCCGCTCCCGCGACAGCCCAGGCGACGGCCCAGGCTCCACCGCCGCCGCAGGCTGCTGCCAAGTAGGCGTCTTGCCTGAACCCTGGGAGCCGCCTCTGGCCCCCACTTTTAAAGCCGACCTGACTCCGCCCAGCCAGATGTCCCGAGCGCGCCAAAACCACCCACCCATTCTGGGATCCTACCCTTGACCCTTCCCAACTAGACCTTGTCCTGGTAAGATAGACTTTTCCACTGACACTCCCACTCTCATACCCCCTCCAGCTTTCAACCCCCGACACCTGCCTAGCTTCCAGGCCTTACAAGCACAACCCTTCAGCCTACAGTCTCCCAGCCCCACTGACCCCTTTCTTGGCAATATAAACCCACTCAGAACTCCCTCCTCTGCTTCCTCTGACTCATCTGTTAAAACATCTCCAAAGCCCATGTTAGTCCTCTCCCCACTCTGACACTATATGATGGTGTGGCCAGCCCTGCTCCCACCCTAGCCAGTCAAGCATAATTCCTCTCCACCCCTCAAATATCCCAGACTGCCTAGACCTCCCACCCCAGACCATCCTGGCCTGGTCCTCAAGGCTCTGGATCCTTCCCTCATTCCAAATGGACACTACTCTCCCCGTCCATCTTGTGACTTGAAACCCCAGCCAGCCACCCCCAGACTTTCGAACCCCTTTTCTGACCTCCCACCCTTGGAAACCTATTCCAGGCCAAGCAGGACCCTCGGGCTCAGACTGTACAGATACCCACCCCATCTCCCCAGGTTCTGCACAGATCTCCTAAGCCCCATTCTCAACTCTAACCAGGATCCCCGATTCTCTTGCAGTCCCTCAGTCTCCAACCGCATATCCCAGGCAATCCACCTGCCACACACCTCCCCTTATTCTCCAAGACCCGACCAAGCAGCCACTTTTTCTTTGGTTCCCTACAATCCTTGTCCCTCCTTGAATTTCCTGCCACCTGTATCCCCTCATACTACCTAGAGCCCACTCCCCGAATAAATGTGATAGAGCTATGCCAACTGCTTTATGTCTGGGATGGGAAGAATGGGCTGGAGCAAGCAGAGGCCAGTGTGAAGGTGTGAAGGAGGGGAGTGTTTATTGGGGGGATGTGGGAGGGCAGAGGAACATCACTGTCGCTCATACATCTCCCGTAAGATCTTCATGCTTTCTGAGTACCGAAGCTGGTTCCGATGAGATGCCTCCTTCCACCTGCGGTAGGGTTGGGGAAGCAGGGGGAGGAGTCAGCAGTTGGGGCAGAGGCCACGGGGGTGCAAACAGGATAGGGACGCTCACCTCTGGCGGATGCGTTTCCAACGCTGCATGTTGCGGTAGATGAGTGTCGATGGTGAGGGCTCAGGCTCGGAGGGCTGTGTGGACAGAGAGGCCAGGCTGGGTGGCCGAGCCCAAGCCTCATAACATACGCCCCATAGCCCTGGGTCAGCTTGCACACCCACCTCATCGTCGGGGGTACCCTGGGTCTCAGGCTGCAGGGGGGATGGAATTCGGGATCTGCAAGCATCTCCAGGTGGCCCAGCGGCTGTGGGTGGCGGCAGCTTGTACACGTCTCGACTCTTGCTGCTCGTGACCTCTGAACTCTGGGGACACAAGAGCCCCACCCCAGGCCCAAGAGAGGTAAAGAAGGCGAGCACTACACACTTCACCCCTCCTGCCTGGCCCAGTGACAGCAGACATGAGGGTCTCACAGGGACCTGTCTTAAGAGCCATGCCAAAGGAGTGTCTCCTGTCCAATCCAGGGACCCCCACCCACCTCTGCCCAGCCCACGGAACCCGTCATTCCTGCCCAGCCCAATGGCCCCCATCTGCTCCCCTAGGCCAGGTGGGTACACCTTTTTGCACTAAGGACCCTTGTTGAGCCCCCCAGCTTTTGGGGACCTCTGACCTTGTGGGTCACATCTATCTGCCCAAGGGAGCCCTGTCCCCTCTCCTTCTCAGGCCAGGTAGCTACGTCCGTCTGCTTTAGGGAGTTCCATCCATACCCTCGGCAGAAGGGTTCATGTCTGTGTGCCTCATCAGACTAGAAATCATGGAGGGACACAGAGACCTGTGCCCGTCCATGCCACTAGCTTTGGGAGGACACCCTGTGGCCATCTACCCACTGCCCCACTGGCTGCCGGGAGGGGGCCCACCCCGCACACATCCAACCTCCTCGTCCTCAGGCAGCGGGGGCAGTGGTGAGCTGGGTGAGCGTTCACGCTCGCGCACTGAGGGGCTGTTGCGCATCCAGGCACGGCAGATCGGGTACAGTGGTGTGTTCTCACTGAACTGAGCCAAGTCCACACTCCGGTCAAACAGCTTGATCACGTATGTGTCTAGGGTGACGAGAGGGGAAGGTGTGTGACCATCCTCCCACAGCTCCCCACCATGGCCTGCCCTCCAGAGCCACCGCCGACTCACTGGATCGCTGCGGCCCCCCCTCAGCCAGCCCGTCATCCATCTCCCTCCTCTTCTTCCTCCGCTGGTGGGGGAAGCGGGCGGACGGCCTGTGTGGGGCAGGAGAACATCAGGACCAGGGCAGGGGCTGGAGACCTCGCATCACTTGGCTGGGGCCCCTGCCACCTTACCTTTTGCCGGTAGCCGCGATCGAACAATCCCTGTGGGGAGAGACAAGACGTCAGCAGGCTGACCCTAAAACAAATGCCTGCTCAAAACCCCGAGGGCACCCTGGGGATACCGAGACGTTCACAGGGACCCCACCGAACTCTCAGACCCTGGGTCCCACCCACGCCTTCAGGGCTGGAAGTGCCAACCATGAGGAAACCTAAGCCTCTGCGGCCACAGGGTCTCTCCACATGCAGGGTGGTCAGGACTGCGGTGGACGAAGTGCAGGGCAGAGTGGGCAGGGTCTGGATAAAGGAGGAAGTTATCCGGCACAAACCCCTGGATACAGATCCCATTAACATAACTTACTTGTTGTGGGTGTCCGAGGGGGTTTTCCCAGCTTCCTCCTCCAGGCGCTCCCTGCTAGCGGAAAAGAACTGTGGGCTCAGGGTTCCCAGGGGCGAGTGGGAAGGCACCGAGTAGCTTTTCCATCGGGCCCCTTCCTGCCTAAGCCAGCCTCTAGGGTCCTACCCAGATCCACCCAGGACCCATAACGTATGCTGGCCTAGGTCCCAACCTGTCCATGTGACTCTTCTCCAGGAGACACTGCAGAACAGCATCAAGTTGGTTCCGGGCCTTGGCCATCTCCAATTCTGGGGAAGAAGATACCAATCAGGAGTCGGTTCTCAGGCCCAAGGCAGGTGGGCTGCCAACGAGGCCGGAGAAGAGCATCCATATCCAGGCCCATGGACAGGCCCAGGGATACGGAGACGGTGCAGTGGGCAAAGACAACTGATGACATGAGCAAGAGCTCTGAGTTCCAAGGTTGTCCCAATGCTCATGTGTGACCAAAGGCAAGTTGCCTTACCTCACGGAGCCTGTTTCCTCATCTTGAAAATAGGTATCCCAATGATACCTATCTGCAATGACTGTTTTGAGGTTTAAATAAACCCATGTTGGGGCGCCTGGGTGGCTCAGTTGGTTAAGTGTCCAACCTGGGTTCAGGTCATGATCTCGCTGTTCCCAAGTTGGAGCCCCACGTTGGGCTCTGTGCTGATGGCTCAGAGACTGGAGCCTGCTTCATTCAGGGTCTCCCCCTCTCTCTCTGCCCTTCCCCCACTTGTGCTCTGTCTCTCTCTCAAAAATAAATACAACATTATCTATTAATATCTCTCTCTTAAAAATAGAACATTAGAGAAATTTTTAAACAAACCTCTGTTATATATTAATTTCTTAGCCAGATGCAATTACAATAAGATGTACAGAGTACTTATTATGTGCCAAGAATTGTTCCAAGCACACTGCATGTATTAACCCACAATAAATTCTCACAATAACTCTGGCAGGTAGATAGGATTATCCCCATCTTATGGATGATGAAACTGAGGCACAGAGAAGTAGACACAGTTAGGAAATTGCGGGGCTGAGGATTTGCACTCAGCCTCTCCACAGCTGAAGTTATAAGGCAGAGACTCACACCGGGTGCAGAATCTAGCCCCCAGATGTGGTTTGTTTGGCTGAGGCAACGGTGTTATCTCAAACCTGACCTGAATCTAAATGCACATTTAATAATTGAGAGATTGCACCTAAAATATCCATTTTTGGCTCCCTCCTATGCCCCCTTGCCCGAAATTAGACATGGGGCCACCTTCCTGCATTCCTGGCTCTGCTGGCCTCCCCACATCATAGAACTGAAGGAGGTGATGATGTTACAAATATTCTCTTGCCTTTGTGGGGTATTTGATCTCCTATTCCAACTGGTACCTAACATCACTCTGGCCCAGGGCTCAAAGCCTGGAAGGACACTCTGGGGACATGCTTTGCCAGCCCTGGGATGAAAGAGGCAGGGATTCCCAACAGCACTGAGGAGACACAGGGTGGGGGTGAAGGGATGCGGGCAGCTGAGATTCTAACAAAGAGTCCTGGATAGGAGCCCAGGTGTAAATCATACCCACATCTCTTTCCCTGGGCCCTGCTTCCCTCCTGGACCTCAGACCTTGGGATCCCGTGGTCTCCTGGATCCCTCCCCCTGGACATCCCCTAGGCCTCACCAATTGCTGGGTCCACACTGGCCTCCGTGTCTCTCTAAACTTTACCACTTTTCCTGGGGCCCCATCTCGGGGGTAGCCCCACTGTCCCCCAGTCCCTCACTGGGCCTCATAATAGACCTCTCTCGCCCTCCTCCACCCCAGCTCACCAAACCCAGGGCCTGTCCACTTGGCCTCCTGAGTGTCTCTCTACTCCCTCCCTACCCTGGTCCTCTCCCTTCCCCCAGGCTCCCAGCCTCAATCTCCTCCACTGACCTACTCTGCACAACATGGCCAGGAGACTCGTTGGAAAACCAAACCCACCCTGATCCTCCCCTGCATGGAACATTCCACAACTCCACAGTGCCCCAGGACTGAGTCTGAGCTCTTCCGTCTGACGTTCACAGGCCTCCATGACCCTGCCTGCCCCTCACCCCCACCATCACTTGCAGTCAGGCCTTTATACTCTTCCACTCACGATTTTGTTTTTTTTTTTTTTTTTTTTTTTGCATTTGGTGGACATCTTTCTGAACTCACTCCTCAGTTCAAAACGCTCCTTTGGCTCCCCATTTCGCTTAGAACAAAAGCCAAAGTCCTAAGTTGGACCCACAAGAACCGTACTCCTCCCTCTCCGTGTTGGCCAGCATCTCACACTCTCCACCTGACTCCCTCTGCTTCAGACACACTGGCCTCTCTGCTGGGCTCTGAACGTAGCAGCTGAGTCTTCCACCTCAGGACCTTTTCAGAGCTATTTCCTTTGTCTGATTTGCTGTTCCCTCATCTATCCTCACTTTTAAAATTACTTATTTATTTTTGAGAGAGAGAGAGAGACAGACAGACAGACAGACAGAATCCTAAGCCGGTTCCGGGCTCTGAACTGTCAGCGCAGAGCAGGACATGGGGCTGGGACTCATGAACGGGGAGATCATGACCTGAGCTGAAGTCCCACAGCTCAATGGACTGAGCCATCCAGGTGCCCCACCTTGCCTCACTCGTGATCTTAAACTTCTCCCGTTTTGTTTTATTAGCACTTATACCATCTAACACCCTACACATCATGCTACTTTTCTTTTGGTCTGGAGTCCATGCCTCTCCCACAATCTAACATGCCAGTCCTGGGTTCCCATCAGCTCAGACTCAACCCAAAATGACTTCTTCTCTCTCAGCTTCGGTTTCCCCATCTACCAGATTTCCTACCCTAGCATTATTGGGATACAGTGACTGTGAGGATTAAAAGCTTTTCTGTACTTCAAGTGCTGAGCACAATGCTTGACTCATGACCACTGCCGGAAACGGGGAAACCGAGGCAGTGGGAAGAAGAGTCCTTTTCAGGGTCACACGGCTTGGGATCCCTAGGTCTTACCGTACACAGTCTGAGCCACCACCATTCCATCTCAACGCCACCTTGAACACAAACCGGGAGGGTATGAAGATGGCAAGAATCGTTCGATGCCTGACATTATCGCGATAATCCTATCTATCGGGACTCCCATGCCCTGATCGGTCCGGTGCTCCCCTACAGGCCCCTTACCTCGGGGTCCTCACCTGATTTCTCCACTTTCACCTTCACCGGGAACATGGTTTGGGTCTGGGGTGTGGCTAGCTGGGTTAGAGCAGCCCCAAAGAGCCCAGAGTCATTAATGGAGGCCGAAGGCAGACGGGAAGAGGTCAAAGATAAGCTTTGTGTGCGGCCGGTCCTCCGTGCTGTGTAGTGTCCGGCGGCGACCGCCACTGTAGCCGCCACCTCCTCTAGTTTCCCTTCTGTGGGCGGGCCCCTTTGGCAATTGCTTGTTCCCATTTGTCAGTGCCACCGTCGATCCCGTCCCTGACCAATTGACACTGCCGCCATCTGCTCCTAGCTTAAGTCCCACCTTTCTGGGGTGGGGGGGGCCCGTTTCCGGAAACAAACCAACGCCATCTCGGGATGCTTCCTGGGAGGTGTAGTTCTAATTCCCGAGACCCAGCCAGAGTAACAACGCCTGCGCCGCGCGAGGCACGGTGGGAGACGTGGGATCAGGGCTTCGCGAGGCTTCTTGGAACTTGTAGTGTTAGGAGATTTGAGGAACACCAATTTAGCTATTAACAAGACTTATTAACCGTGGGAGTCTTTCTTGTCCCTGAGAGGAAGGCAAGTCAGGAGTTAGGCCTAGTTCAGTCTTACTGAGCACTCGCTAGGTGCCAGCTACCTGTTAATCTCTCTTCAGGCGCAACCTCATTTATTTAGCAAATATTTATTAGTGTGCCAGGCACTCTTTTCTACACACTGGGGACATTGCACAGAACAAAACCGACAACAACTCTTGCCATAATAGAGCTTGTATTTTAGAAGATGTAAAATTAGAAGAAAGAAGTAAAACATCTTAAATGAAATGTAATAAAAGAGACAATACAACCCGAAGGCACTTACGGAGTATCAAGGGTTGGACTGAAATTTTAAGTAGGATGGTCAGGGAAGCCTTCTGTAATAAAGCTCTTGGCTATGTCTGTTGCTGCAGACAACGTCTCCTTCAGAAAATGGGAAACTTCCATTTACCACGGATGCTTTGGGTCTGATAAATTCTAGGAGTTAGCATTGATACCCGCAGAGGCCAAGTGGGAAACTACATTTTTCAAATTCACACACCCCCAGTACCAGATAGCAGCGCCTAGTAATGGAAGCATTGTTTCTTTCTTATTCTGCATCTGTAAAATAGGGTTCCTGAGCAGGAAAATTCCTATTTCAGAGGATTCAGACAGTGAAGGATTGCACTAATGTGCGAAGCACTAAGCCTGGCACAAAGCGAGCACTCAATACGTGTTTTTGAATATTGATAATCATTTTATGCTTCAACCTCCAAAAGATCCAGGAAGTCAATACAGAGGATTAGAGTCCTTTATTGGGGTATGTCAGCAAAGAATACAGGAGATGGGAACAAGTCTTAGGGGCTTGAGAGGGGGCTTAGAGTAGAGGAGCCCATTCTGGGAGAATGAGCAGGTCCCAGGCATGTGCAGAGGAAGCTATCAGGGGGTACCCAGGGGTATGGTGAAGGAGAGATAGTCACCAAGGGCACCCCAACGGGGCCGGTAGATCTGGAAGATGGTGATCCAGGTGGTGAGTACAATCACCCAGAAGAGGAAGCCCACAGCTGAGCGCCAGACATCTGTAAGAAGGAACAGAAATGGGTAAGGTTGGCCTCCAGCTGCCCTCTGGTCTCTCCCAGACTGGCCCTCTCTTCTCTTCCAGAGCCCCAGAATTCTGGAACCTCCATCATTCCCTCTGGACACCCAATGGCTTCCCTTCATCGGTACCCTAGACTCACAGCCTTTAATTTGGCTCTGCTCCGTATATGCCGGGACTAGGAAGGCCTCTCGAAAGAACCAGAAGATGTTGACCAACCAGAGAAAAGGCAGGAAAGCAAACCCACCTAAGAGAAAAACAAAACAAAACAAAACACAAACACAACCAACCAACCAAACTGGAACAAAAAGCAATGGCATTCTCCCCAACGTCTACGTAGAGGACAGAAGGCCCTCTCCTATGTCCAAGTTCAAATAGCGATCTCTGCTCTCAGAGACTTAGGAATCCTGGCTCCTCCTTGGGACCCAAAAATCTGACTCCTCAATCATCTTTTTCTCAGGACCCAGCGTCCAGCCCCACAACATCCCCCGTCTCTTGGGACCCAGAAGTTGAGTCCCTAGCTTCCTCTTTCCTCAGGTCCCAGACCCTTCCCTCAGACCCAGGAGTCCGCAACTTAGACCCAAGAGCCCAAATCCCCAGGTCCTCTTCCCTCAGGCGCTCCAGTCCGGTCCCCGTCCCCTCTCTTCTCCGGGGACTCGAGGTATCGGCCCTTACCCAGGTAGTACTTCCGGCACAGATTCAGCTTTTCCTCGTTGGACACCCGCTCCAAGTTCATAGTTGCGCTGAGGCCGAGTCGTCCCGAGGGTCTGTAGGGCAAGAGCCAAGCCTTGACCCCAGGTGACAGATGCAGGGATCGCGAACAACCACGCCCCTATTACGACAAAACGGAGATAAACTGAAGGGTCGGTTTGCCTCAAGAAGGGTACTCCGGCCCCCACCAGTAAGCTGACAGGGTTGAACGCTCTTCATGTTTATTGCGGTGCGCGAAACGACCTCCAACTCACCAGTGAAGTCTATTTCCTCCGCCTGGAAGCCTTTGCCACTTTCAACTCCGGACGTTTGCGCGAGATACCGCAAGTATCTCTGGAGTTTGTAGTCTTTTTGGGCGAGGCAACGCTGCACGCATGCGCCTTCAGGGAACTCCGGGGGCGGGGCATGGTTTTGCGGGGAGGGCGCCGGCCTCCAACACGCAAGCGCAGCCGACCGTTTCTGAGTGCGTGCTGTGTCCGGAGGCAGCTACAAACTACACTTCCCAATACTCTTAAGTAACGGAAATGACGTAAAGAGCAGACAGGGTTGGAGGGTTCGAGTAAAAATGGCTGAATATTTAGCTTCGATATTCGGGACTGAGAAGGACAAGTGAGAACGGGCGCAGGGAGTGGCCCCTTGCAGGGAACCGGGGCCGGGCCTTTTGATTCCCTGGTGGCTGGGAGGCGTTGGGCGGTGTTTCTGGGGTGTCCGGCCTCCCCGGCCCTCGGTTCACCTCTGTCTTTGCCCCTCTTCCAGGGTTAACTGCTCTTTTTACTTTAAGATCGGGGCCTGCCGGCACGGGGACCGGTGCTCCCGGCTTCACAACAAACCGACTTTCAGCCAGGTGAGACCCGGCACGGAGCCTTGAGGGTTAACGCCTCCCGGCCATTCCCCATCACCACGAGGTCCCGCCTTTTCCGGATTTCTAAGGCCCACCCTACCACCGGCTCTCTGGCAGTCGGGCCTCCGCTGGTCCCTCGCCTTCTTTCAGGTCCCTCTCGCCACGCCCCCGTATGTACGAACTACGCTGCTGGGCGATCCCTGACTACTAGGTTTCCCCTCTTCAGGTTCCCTTAGGGACAAGCATCTGTGATGCGCTCAATCAATCAAGGTGCTTAGGCTTCTTCTCTGGCGCCTGGTCTCACCCCCAACCTTCATACCCCACCCCTTTGCATGAGCTCAGTCCCCCGCCCCCTTTAAATTCTGTTCAGACCATAGTGCTGCTCAACCTGTACCGGAATCCACAGAACACTGCCCAAACCGCAGACGGATCACACTGTGAGTGAGGGACCGGTCTTGGGGGTAGGGCCGACACCCCCTAGGCAGGCCACCCCCTGATTTCACCCCGCTCCCTCCTCCAGGTCACGTGAGCGACGTGGAGGTTCAAGAACACTATGATAACTTCTTCGAGGTGAGGGTTGCCAAGGGGTGGGTTGGGTTTCCTGTGGGCCAGGAGCTCAGCTGAATTCCTCCTGATCTTCCGCAGGAGGTGTTCACGGAGCTGCAAGAGAAGTATGGGGATATTGAAGAGATGAACGTGTGCGACAACCTGGGGGACCACCTCGTGGGCAATGTCTACGTCAAGGTACCTGCTTTCCCCCCAGTAGAGCCTACAGGTGGAGGCATTTCAGTGCCACCACTGAAGCTTCACATCTTGAGGTCCATCATTAAATCCAGCCCAGCCCCAAACCTGATAACTAATCCCCTAAAGACTTCTGAGTTTGATTGCCGACCCGGATCCACTTTCCCCTCAGTTTCGGCGTGAGGAGGATGCAGAGCGGGCGGTGGCTGAACTCAATAACCGCTGGTTCAACGGGCAGGCAGTGCATGCTGAGCTGTCTCCTGTCACCGACTTCCGAGAGTCGTGCTGTCGGCAGTATGAGATGGGGTATGGTAGTACGGGGGCGGGATGGGCACCAGGAGTCCCAGACTCCTATGTGTTGGGCAACTGTCATTGACAACAGCGTCCTCCATCCGTCTACCCCCTACCCAGGGAATGTACCCGCGGTGGCTTCTGCAACTTCATGCACCTGCGGCCCATCTCCCGGAACCTTCGACGTCAGCTGTATGGGCGAGGACCCAGGCGCAGGTACCTCAGCATCAGCTTGTCGGGACGTCTCATACCCTAAGGTCTTTATGCCCTGGGATGGACCTGATCCCGTGTCCCGATAACAGCGTGTCTCGTTTGTATCCTCAGACTAGCTCTGAGCATCCTCCCAGGACCAGCACCTAAATCTCAACCCCCAAACGCAAGCCCATTCTGGATCTCCAGCCTGGAGATCAGTTCCTGAGCGCCTGTCCTGATACCACTCAGTAACTCTGGTTGTTTCGTCATCTGCCCTGCCCTACGCCAGAACTGAGAGGCAGGCCCGGGGAACTGTGCGACACTTCTCACAGCGCTAACCCTCATCTCTCCTCTCCTGTCCCCAGGTCACCCCCAAGGTGCCATACTGGTCACCGCCCCCGAGAAAGAAACCGACGACATTCCCCAGACCACCGGCATGGCCGCTTCTGAGACCCTGGCTCCCTTGACCTCCACCCTGACAGGCATAAATGTTCCTGGCCAGGATACCTCCTGAAAGCGTCCTTAACTCCCCTTTCCCCCAGGCTCCGGGGCTCCATGATGTAATCCGTTCAACACGGGGACCTTCTCTTACCACCCCTCCCCTAATAAAGTTCTGTATTGAGGGCTTAGAACCTGTTAGCTTGAGCCTAGCTGTGGGCTGGAGTTTCCTTCCACCCCCGCATCTCCTGACGAAAAGAGGAAGCAGGCTGGGCTCTGGCCACATCTTTAGCTGAACAACTTCCAGCAACAGGTGGGAAAGCAGGCTCAGGGCCCAAGGCTCTAGAAACCCCTCAGTGGGACTGGTAGGGGTTGGGATGTTTTTGTGCCGGTAACTTCAGGACATTTCTCGAAGCCTTCTCAAGGGAGAGGTGCCTGGTTGTGGCAGGTTGGAGGATTCCCAGCCCGGAGGAGATTGGGGTTAGGAGCTAAGGTAAGGCCACTGGGAATTGAGTGGGAGTCTCCAGAGGGTGAGGGCTGGGTCCTCATGCCGGCTGCCCCGAGATGGGAGTTGGTGATACCTAATACTTGAGCTTACTGTATGCCTGGTGCTGTTCTAAGCAATTTACTTCTGGCAATGGTTTTAAATCTTTGAAATAAACCTTTGAGACAGGTACTGTTCTCCTGTTTTAGGGGTGAGAAAAGAGGTAAGGAAGATGGCAGAGGTGGGATATGAATCCACTCATTGTTCCAGAGTCCTCATTCTAGCCATCTTGAGGCCTTGGTGGCCCTTCTTTCTAATAATTAGGGGTCAGGAGCTGGTTAAGGGGCTGGAGGGTTGGTTCCCCGTCTTCCAAAAGGGTCGGGGTATCCCAAGCCCCCACATCACTGCTTCTTCCTTCTTCTGGCCCGGTTTCCTGGAAAGTGTGACAGAGGCGCTGTGGCCGGAAGTCCTGTGGTCACGGCCCCCCAGGCTGCAGACCCGCCCGGATGGGGCCCCTACGCCGCCTTCTGACTGCCATGCTACTCCTGGCTCGGGCGGTGCCTCAGGAGGCCTCCCAGCACTGCGGGCGCCTCGAGTACTGGAACCCTGATAACCGGTGCTGCAGCAGCTGCCTGCAGCGCTTTGGGCCGCCCGCGTGCCCGGGTGAGGAGCCGGGGCCCGGTCTGCGTACATCCGTCGGGCTAGGTCGGGCTATGTTGGGGCGGAGCCAGGAGGTGATTGGGAGCTGGGGAAGGGACGAGGTCTGTGGATGATTGTCTGCGAGGCTTCCTTCGGGGTGGGAGCGGCGGGCATTATGCAGATAAGACGGTGGGGGCGCTGAGCTTGTGAAGGAAGGGGTGGTATGGGTTACATTAGTGCCACGCTCAAGAGGCCCTGCCAGTGAGAGAGGCCGGATCTCAGCGGTGTTCTGAGGATGGGCTGCGCGGTAAATCGGGAGCGGGCGGGGCCTGCGTCGAGAGGGTCTTGAGCCTGCGGGGGGGGGGGGGGTGGGCACGTCCACTGACTGATAGGTTGGGTGAGTAGAGTACAAGGTGTGGGGCCTGCTGGGATAGGACAAAGGGGGAAAGGGCGTCGCCCGTGCAGAAGAGGAGGGCCGGGGCGGCCACACCTAAGACCTTGTTTCCCAGCAGACTACGAGTTTTCGGAAAACTGCGGATTCAACGACTTTGGCGATCACGTGACGTACCCCTTCAAAGCGTGCCCCTTTGGCCAGTGCAACCCCGACAATGCGGAGCTATGTAGCCCTTGTGGCGGCGGAGCCACAGCCCCCGCTCCCGCAGGGAGCCGGAGCGGAACCCAGCATCGCTGCAGAGAGGTGCGGGTCAGGCTCCCCAGGGCCTGGTTAGGGGTGCAGCTTGCCGGAGGCGGGACAGAGGCTGGAGGGCGTGGTTTGGAATTAGATGGGAGGGGATGTCGTCCCACTGAATAGGGGTGGGGACATAGTATCAGGAGACCTACCTGGGTTAGGGGGTGGTACAGGACCAGGGGGGATTTGGTCCCACTGAGGGATATAAGGGTGGGAGGTTCAGGCTGAGGGGGCAGAAGTGGGGCACGCCTCCAGCTTTACGCCCACCTGTTTGCAGAAGCCGGTCCCTCCCAAGGAGCCCTGTCCCCTGAAGTCGGGGAAACCAGGAGTCTTCAACTCCCAGGAGCCCAGCCCATCAGCGATTTCCAGTCTCTCGAGGACACCTGAGCGCAACGTCACTCAGCAGGCCTTGCCGAACCTTGCCCTGCCAGTGCTGCTGGTTCTGGTGCTGGTTCTGCTGGTGACCTCAGCAGTGGGCCTGCTCGCGCAGCAGTGCCACCGCCGGGCGAAAGTTGTCCTCCATCCCTACCCCGGCTTGGTTTGTGGCGACACCAATATCCATACCGTCTTCTCCTTGCCCTCGTCCTCTCCAGGGTCCCCGGAGGCATCGGAAGTCTCCCTGGTACCACTCCTGGGCAGAGGTTAGTTGGGGACGTGCCAGGGAGGGAAAAGGTAGAAGGCTGCCCTTCCTCTCCCTCACCCCGTCATCTGTCTCCCAGAGCTGCCGAGTCTGGCATCGCAGCCCCTGTCTCGCCTCCTGGACGAGCTGGAGGTGCTGGAGGAGCTGATAGTGCTGCTGGATCCTGAACCCGGGCCAGGTGGGGGCATGACGTGCGGCACCACTAGACACCTGGCGGCGAGGTACGGAGCACCTGCTGCCTGGTCCACCTTCGCCTACTCACTGCGACCCAGTCGCTCGCCACTGCGGGCCCTGATCGAGATGGTGGTGGCGAGGGAGCCCTCTGCTTCTCTGGGGCAGTTTGGCACGCACCTGGCCCAGCTGGGGCGGGCAGATGCGCTGCAGGTGCTGTCCAAACTTGGCTGATCTGGGGCTTGCCCAGCCTAGTCCTCAATAAAGTTTCCCATGAAGTAAGTGCCTGCTGCCTCTGGGCCTCAATAAGATGCCCTTTTGAAATACGGTCTTTAACTGGGCCAAGACCCAACAGGAATCCCCTCATTCCACCGTGCACGATATGACCGGATGCAGGAGAGCTGGCCTCAGGTGCCTCTGGGCACCCACGGTCCTCTGAGAAATGGCCCTGCTACCCTGTGGAGAGCTCATTCGCAGGCGCCCAGCTGGGTGCTAACTTGGACTATGTGGAACATTTGTTGCTCCGAAACCTTGACAGGCCCTCATAATTTACTAGTAATCGTGAATGATGGCCTCACCCTCCTAATGAGGCTGACAGGCTTCCTGGGCTCAGGATTGGTGTGGGGCATGGTCAAACGGGAGCCCCGGGGCACGTGGGTGGCTCAGTTGGTTGAGCATCTGACTTTGGCTTGGGTCATGATCTCACGGTTTGTGGGTTTGAGCCCTGCGTTGGGCTCTGTGCTAACAGTCCAGAGAACGGAGCCTGCTTCAGATTCTGTCTCTCTCTTTCTCTGTCCCTCCCCTGCTCACGCTCTGTCTCTCAAAAATAAACATTTAAAAAACAAACAAAAAAGCCCCGGGAGCCCCTAGCTGCCCCCAGCACCACACAAACGGGAAGACCACCTCTCCAAACATTGACAGACTTTATTATGGGGGGTTCCCACCTGGGATCCCACCCTCTTAAATAAAAAAGTGCATAGAAAAGAAGGGATTTAGAAACCTTTGTACAGTTATCTACATCCTGGGCCCCCAGGGCAGGAAGGGGGCGATTGCTGGGTGGGATGGAGGCAGGGCCTTTGCCACCTGCATGCCCACATCCACCCTGAACGTGAGGGTGGGGGTGAGATGCTCTGGGAGGGGCAAGGGGGCCCCCAAACGAGGGGCAAGATGGCAGCAGGGGGTGTGGTGGGCAGCCACAGCTTCAGTTAAGGAACCGGCGGCAGCGCTTGGCGCCACAGTTGCAGGGCAGCTTGTTGCTGGCATCCTCGATGGGGAATTTGTAGTCATAGGTGAGCTCCTCACCACGCAGGATGCGGCGCAGGGCGAAGATGACGATGTGCTTCTGGCCCTCCACGTGGATGACCCGAGAGAAGCAGTTGGGCTCACACGAGTGGTTGATGAAGCGGGCAGCGTTGCCATGCATTGTGGCATCCACCACATCAAAGTCATCCATGCGGAACATGTAGCACCCAATACCCTGCAGGGGTAGCATGGGGGCAGTCAGGTGCTCTGCTCCCACGGACCAGCCCCGCTTTACCCACCTCCTTCCCATGGCCTGGTGGAGCCCACCTTCCCATCGTAGAACTTCTCCCGCTTGTCAGTCAGCACAGAGCGAATGACAATACCAGAATACTCAATGACCATCTCGCCGGCATCGATGTTTCGCTTACAGAATAGGCCCCGCCCATGGATGGCAGATCTGCAGGGTAGGATGGGGCAAGGGGGAAATCAGGGGGCGGGGGGACAGAACCAAGGCAGCCCCACACCAGGGCACCTGTCCATCCACCCAAGGGGCATCCTCCCCCCAACCCCACTAACCTGTAGACACCCACAGCCTCTTTGGATGTCTTCTTGAGGTGGCGAAAGCGCATGGCCATGGGCAGCTCCAGGCTGGTGGCACGTCTGGTGGGGTCAGCAGTGTCACAGGCTGGTACCCAGGAATGACCTCTCTTGCCCCTGGTCACCCTCTTTAGGACCCTTCCATAACACCCCCAGCACCCTGGCCTGCCCTCCATACCTGGTTGACCTGAGCTGCACCTCATCCTCTTCCTCTTCACAGGTGGCTCCCTCAGGGAGCACCCGGTGCTGGGAGGCCAGGAAGTTGAACATGTCAAAGGTGCACTTCCTGCAGCAGAGAGGGAGGGAAGAAGGAAGGATCACAGCCATTCCTTCAAAGAGATGCCACCTACCTATCCTTTGGCTTGGGCCTGCTGCTGGCAAAAGAAATACTGCTACCACTGAAGCCACAGCAAAAGGGGAAGGGAAGGGATGGGGTTCATTTTTCTGAGGTGAACTTTGGGAATAATTCCTGGACTGGCCTGGCATCTTCTCCCAGGCCTCAGTTTCCAATCTCTACAGACTTCACTCCCACTCTGGAGAACTCCCACAGGGCTCCCCACACCTCTCACCGGAGATAGACCTCGGCACGGGCTGCCCCGTGGGGATTTAGGGGTGGTTCCTCCTGGCCCTCTCCCTGCTGGTGGTAGCGGAACTTATAGTGCTGGCAGCGCTGGGCTCCGGGCAGCTGCTCTGCCAGGAAGATGACAGCATCGTGGTGGATGCCCAGGAGCCTTGCCCCACTCATTCCTGGGGAGAATCAAAGGTGAGGACACACAAGTCATGTCGGAGGCCCATCTTGTCCTCTGGGAGTCCTCCCAGCTCCCAGCATCCCTGTGGACTCTCTTACCGCTGAAGGAGAGATGTCGGAGGCGGGCGTGCCCTCGGGCCTCTTGCACCTTCTCAATCAGAGTTCTCCACGCCCCTGAGGAGGGAGAGGGCCAGAGCCGTCAGGACGGTGCTCCACCCGACACCTTCCCTCCGCCACCACTACTCCCGACTCACCCTCCAAGCTCTCTGCCTCCACGCTGAACCCATCCTCACTGCTGATCTCAAAGCGCAGATGTGGGCCAGCCCGTTTGGGGGCCTGGTTCTCTTTGTCTTCTGGGGATGGAGGCTCTTCCTCGGAGCTCGAAGCCTCACCTGGTCCCAAGCAGCAGGTCACGGTAGGTGAGGGTCACCTCTCCTAGACTCCAGAGTCCCCAGTTCACCACAACCCTCCCTTCCGTCCCCTGCACAAGCACAGGCACTTGGTCGATGGCTCTCTTCCTGCTCTAATTGCCCAGTGAACCCTAGAGGACGGACTTTATTTTTTTTCTAACATCGTTTATTTACTTATTTTTGAGAAAGAGAAAGAGAGCATGAGCAGGGGAGGGACAGAGGATCTGAAATAGGTCTATGCTGACAGCAGAGACCCTGATGCAGGACTGGAACTCACAAACCAGGAGATCATGACCCAAGCCAAAGTCGGACACTTAAGGGACTAATCCACCCAGGAGCCCCTGAACATGTTTTTTTCCTAAAGGGCCTGCGGTTCCTTCTCAACAGGAGTTGTTGGCCAGATGAGCGTTTCCACAGGGGCCTGGAGTGCCCTGGCTCTGCAAGACACACTTCTGGCTCACTCCAACCGAGTTTACAAAAATACCCATCTATCCCTCATTCTTTCTCTCACAAAAAATTTAAAATACCAGAGAAGTGCATTTTACACATGTATTTTTATACATGCAGCACACCTGTGTACATATTACAAATTTATTATTATATAGGCCCCTACCTAGAGAATTAAGTACCCGTATCTTATGAGCTATTTAAGGGATTTCTCAGGGGCTAAAGATTTTGAAGACAGAGAAGATAGAACCTGTTGCTATAGGAGATACGGATGTGAGACATTGGAGGGTCACGGAAAGCTCACGTATGGGGCCTGAACAACCAGAAGGATAAAACTGCCAATGACCGAGATGATAAGGGAGAGGGAGGAACAAGTGTGGGCTGAAGGTCGAGAGCTCAGTCTGGGACATGCTGAGTCTGAAATTCCCCTTAGAAAACCTGCCTTTGCAACCTGCTGGGGAAGATGGCAAGCTGGTGGCAGGATCTAGGAGCCTGGCTACTGATCTGGGGGCCATCAGAATTAGAGATGGGATTCAGGGCCTGAAGTAGCTGAGAACATCTGAGAAGTCAAGATAAGATAGAGAAGTCAAGATAAGATAGAGAAGTCAAGGCCAGGGCCCTGGGACACGCCAAAGTGACAGGCTGGGGCAATGACAAGGCATAGCTAGATTGGTGAGGAGAGGGGTGGGGTTCTGGAAGCCAGGGAAGGAAGTGCTTCAAAGAGGGAAATCAGTGCAAATGCCGCTCCGCTTGCTCAAGCAGGCTGTGGACCGAGGACTGTCGTGTCTGGGGGGGGGGTGGGCGTGGGAGCAACCTAAATTTGAGTGGAGCGTACTTTAGGAGAGAGGCAGGACCCACGTGGCCACACTTTGTCCCCACATTACTTCCCTGGGCCAACCTGACTGCGTGCCCTCCCAGCCCTAGGCATGCCTCTAAACCTGATTTGCCGTGTGACCCACACCATCTCCAGGCCTCAGCGCCCCTGTGTCCACCTCTGACAATTTCTTCCACCTCCTCCTTGCCCTTGCCCCATCCTCACCTCCATTCTGTTCCCTGAACCCGACAGGCTGACTACAGGGGCCTCAGCCAGGCGCTCTCATTGCCTTCTTTCTCACGGTGCTCGTTCTCAGCTGCGGTACACTTGCTAATGTACGTGTCTGTTTCCTCTACCAAAATATGGTGTGGTCCCTAAGGGTGGGGACCTGTCCGTCATGGTCACTACCATGACCTCACGCCACCTCTGATCCCCATATGCAGTCTTTCAGTTAAGCAGTCTCTGTCTCGCTCCACTTCCACACTCAGTAACTCGGCGCTATGGAACGAGACAATCCACACGTGCGGACAGGACTTGGGCCAGGAGAAATTCCGAGCCTCAGCTGCTCGCCTGCCAGCTTGCTTGGCTGCAGCCTGCCCCTGTGCCGCGGTCCTCTGTAACCGACAGAGCACTGCCCTCCTAGCCCCCGAGGCTGGCAGCCCAGGCCACGCTGCGTGCCCCCATCCTGTGTCCTGGTGTCTCTGCAAGCGCACTGCCCTCACCTTTCCTCCATGGCAGCAGTCTCCAACCCAACCACCACGCCTCATCCCACCTCTGCCTCCATCCACGAGCGCCCTTCCCCCTCCTCCGTGGCTGCACTGTCTCCGTTCTCACACAAACCCCTCTATGCTGCTGCCCACTGCCTCCCCTCAGACCCTCAGGCAACCTTGCCGGCAAGATGCCTAGCTCTTGTTTTGGCTTCCTCATCAACCGGTCTTCAATTCCGGACCCTCATACAACATCCTTCTCAGCCAGTACACCGATCCTAGACCCCACATGCCTGGCGTCCTCCGGGGCAGTTAGGACT